TATGGGAAAACTTACTGGTGCAAAGAGATTTTCAAAAAGTCGAACTAACCATGTAAGTTCTACAGTTACTCTTCTCATAGATGTGTATTCTGCCTCTGCAGAAGATAGAGAGATTAACACTTATTTCTTTGATTTCCAGAAAATTAGTGCTCCTCATAGTTTGATGAAGAATCCACTTACGGACCTCCTAGAATCCTTGCAAGAGGCCCAATCAGCATCGCAAAATGCAAGCAAGGAGAATGAGTGTTTTGCTGAGAGAAGAATTCCTTATCCTGGATCACAACTCAAATATTTGAGCACTCGTAAGGCAGCAGAGAAATAAGACTTACAGTGTCTCTGCATGTATTGACTGAGGGTAAGGACTATGAAAGAAAGGTCCAGGTGAGTGTTAGTGAGATAGTTCAATCTGCCAACCAGATGATGAAATACTGTTGGATATTGCAAAGGGTGGCCATCATCAGCTTGAAGCTTGGAGGAAGGATCAATAGGAGAAATGACTCGAGACAAATGAGATACATCAAATTCCACCAGCATATCCAGGGTAAATCTTCTTCGGCTTACAATAAAAGCTTCATTTTCTCGTAGAATTTCCATCCCTAAAACATAATGTATGTCTCCTAGATTTTTGACCTTGAATTCACTGTTTAGAAAACCCTTGATATGCTGAATTTCTTTCAAGTCATCTCCAATAAGCAGTATGTCATCTACATAGACAACTGGGATAGAAAATCAGGTTTCCTGTCCGTTTAAAGAATAATGAGTAATCGTTTAATGATGAAGAATACCCCTTAAAAGTCAAAGCTCCTGCAAGCCTAGCATACTATTGCTTGGAAGCTTGTTTTAAACCATGCAATGACTTCCTTAGTAAACAAACATGCTTAGGACCAGGAGGTGTTAACCCTGCTGGAAACCTCATGTACACCCCTCTTTTAGATCACAATGTAAAAATGCATTGTTGACATCTAATTGACACACATTCCAATGTCTTTTGGCTCCAATAGTGGGTAAACACCTTATGGTTGTTATTTTTACCACTGGTGAAAAAGACTCACTATAATCTATTCCTTCTCTTTGGATATCTCTCTGACCACCAACCTTGCCTTCAACCTTTCAATTCTTCCATCCGACAAATGTTTTACCTTGTACACCCATTTGAAAGGTAGAGCCTTTTTTCCTTTAGGTAATTCAATCACATCCCATGTGTGGTTGTCTTCTAGAGCTTTAAGCTCTGAATTTATAGCTTATATCCAACATGGATATTGACAAGCATGTCCAAAACTGTTAGGTTCTGTGAGAGTAGAGAGGGATTGCAACACATATTGATTGTTGGGTGACAGAGAAAAGAAACAAAATTCCATAGGCTTACTTGGTTGAGTGAAACAAGATGCTGCTACATTTGTGAACATGATATTACTGTATACATAATCTTTCAAGTAGGCTGGTTGATTAGAAACTCTACCTGGCTTTCTCAATGGTGTAGGTTGCTTGGGTATAGAAACAAGTGAGGTACTGTGTGGTGTATCTAGGATAGACTGAAAAGGAATTGGGCTAGTAGACAATTGGTGATGATAGGGAGTGTATGAATGATAAGGAGAAAATATCACAAATTTCAGGTTCTAAAGAGATGGGTGAGGATTGATCCTGTGATGAAGGTTAATAGGTAGGTTCTGTAGTAAATATTGTACTTGGGAATATAAGATGTTATGATGTGATGGTTTTAACAAAAGAGAAGTGTGATTCATGAAATTTCACATCCCTTGTCACAAACACTCTTCCTGTGGACAATTCCAATAGCTTATATCCCTTCTGATGAAGCGGATAACCAAGCAAAACACAAGTTGTTGCTCTATCATCGAATTTGCCTCTTCCCTGGGCTATTGTAGAAGCATAACAGAGGCATCCAAAATTTCTTAAATGATCATACTTGAGTTTTTTTTGAAATAAAATCTCATATGGTATTTTTCCTTTTAGAACGCTAGAAGGAATCCTAGCAGTTACCCCAATATGACATATGTAGCTTGGATTGAAATATTAACCTTTTTGCAATCTCTAAGAGGTGTCTATGCTTCCTTTCAACAATTCCATTCTGTTGAGGAGTTGCTACACAAGACAATTGGTGTAGAATTCCTTCTAAAGCTAGGAAAGTTGTCTCTTGTGTACCTTTTCCCAATTCTAATGCATTGTTAGATCTTATCATTCTAACTTTCACATTGAATTGCCTTTTAACCATAGATAGAAAAGATTTAAGCATAGAAAAAGCATTACTTTTTGCACTTCATAAAAATGTCCATATTGCTCTGCTATAGTCATCTACTACAGTAAGGAAATAACTGAATCCATTGTAAGTATTTGACTTATAAGGTCTCCATGTGTCTACATGTATAAGTTCAAATATATTCTTGGATTTTATGCTACTGGCATGAAAAAGATTCCTGATTTACTTTGCCTTATGACAAACATCACAGATAAACTCAGAATTTGACTTACAATGAAGGAAATCTAAATGTTTCATTGCTGAAAATGGTAGGTGTCCCAATCTTACATGCCAAAGTTTAACATCAGGAGTACCATTAACTTGAACTGGAATATGAGATTTCTTTCTTTTGGAATTGAAGGTACATTACTACTGAATAGCCACTTAGACTTAAGGCTACTTGGTTCCAATAAGTAGAGTCCCTTTCTAATTTCACCAAAAACTTGTGGACTCTTCATTAAAAGGCCCTGCAACACATACCCAATAGATGTGAATTAGATATCATACTTGAACTGAACACAAAACCTATTAATTGACAATAAGTTATATTTGAAATCTGAAACATATAACACATTGTTCAGGATATGACCTAGCAGAATAGAAATACTCCCTATATGAGTAACAATCACCTTGAAAGAGATAGGTAAAATGATATTCAAAGGTACAGGAAGTGGAGTTAGAAACAGGAAAGAATTAGGATCAAAACACATATGCTCTGAGGCACCTGAATCAATAATCCAGGTGTCTGATTTTAGACTAGTAAATATTGAACTTGAGTTTTTTAGAATAGTACTAGCAACTGCATTTTGATTCATGTATTTCCTGGCCGTGCTAACTTTGTCTACTTATATATTTTAATCATTTCTGCAATTTGTTCCTTGGTGAGTTGCTGTCCAAAATTACTATTGTTGAGCTCGGTGCTTTGTCCTTCTGAATTCTCACGTTCCTCGTGTGTTAGTACTGCATTTCCTTCAATTTGAATTTGATAACCTTTGTGATTGGTGAACGCAAAATCTTTTGGAAATCCAATAATTCTATAGCAGTCCTCTTGTGTATTTCTTGTTTTTCCATAATAAGTACAAGACACATTTGGATTGTACTTCCTTTTCCCTTTAAACCCTTCCTGAAGTTTATTAAACTTTTGCCCTGAGTTGTTATATTTAGGTGATATAGCTGCCCCTCTTTGTATTTGGCTTCTAAGTTTCTGATAATTCTTCCCTTGTCTTATGATCATAAAAGCTGCAAAATCAGATAGAAGTTGTGTATTGGGCTGCTTGGCCTCTCCAACTGCCATGAATGATACTGATTCAGAATTAAAATGTGCATTTGCATAAACTTCTCTTTGATTTTCATCTTGCAAGATAAGTGCATAAGCAACATTTATGCTAGACAAAGGGTTCATCATGAGGATATTTCCTCTTGCTTGGGCATAGATATCATTTAATCCCATTAGGAATTGGATCAATCTCTGATCCTCAAGACACTTGGTCAACTTTGCCTTTCCTTCACAAACATAAACACATGAACATTATATGATAATATTTAAAGCATCTAATTCATCCCACGGTCGTTTGAGCTTAGTGAAGTATGCTGCAATGTCATTGTTTCCATGTACTAAACCTGATAACTCCTTACACAGATGATAAATTTTGGCTCCATTTGATCTCCCAAATCTCTGCTCCAAGCTGTCCCAAAGTTCTTTTGCAGTTTTAGAGTATATCACACTGTCTGCAATATCCTTTGAGAGAGTATTTAGGATCCAAGAGATGACCATGTGATTCACACAACTCCATTGTTCATAGTCCGGAGATTTCATATCTGGAGATTGACATGCTCCATTGATGAAACCAAGTTTCATCTTGGCTGACAAAGACAGGAGAATAGATCTCCTCCACCCTCGGTATCCTCTTCCATCTAACACAATGTTGACTAGAGTTATTTCAGGTGAATCAGAGTTGTTGAGATGATAAGAGTGATTGACATCATAGCTGACTGGTTTTGCAGCATTGCTCGTATCACCAGTAAAAGTGATGGTTGTTTCAGGCATTTTAGGTTACTGACTATGATGATGAATCTGATGTAAATGGATTTGATGGTTGACAAGAGTGGGTTGCTCTAGCGGTGAACACCCTCCACTTCCAACCAAGAGGTTGTGAGTTCGAGTTACTCCAAGAGCAAGGTGGGGAGTTCTTGGAGGGAGGGAGTCGAGGGTCTATCGGAAACAGTCTCTCTATCCAGGGTAGGGGTAAGGTATGTGTACACACTACCCTTCTCAGACCTCACTAGTGAGATTATACTGGGTTGTTGTTGTTGTTACTGTTGGATCGAGCTTATTGCTCTGATACCATGTACAAAATTGAAGGAGAAATCTGATTGAAAAAAATTCTCCCGTGTTTTACATTGCTTGCTTTGTACATGTATATATTATACACTTGACATATATATTTAATCCTCCCACACTAACTCACTAACTTATGTCTCCTTATATTATAATCCTCTTACTAACCTCATTAATTTATGTCCCCTCGTGTCCACTAATTTATGTCCCCTAACCCATTAATTACGTCCCCTATATTCTAAAGACATAATATGCCCGACTACTTCTTCACCCTTCTTCTTCTTCTTCCTTCTCTATCTCTAAGTAAATCTCCACAAGTGTTAGAATTAGGGTACGATTTCTTCTTCCCAACAGAGCAAGAAAAGACCTGGGTCAGGGCCTTTAGGAGCAGTAGCACAAATTTCCTAATTGGGGCATCCTTGGCAAACATCCGATTTTCCTGCCGTTTCTGATTGTGGACCTGGACAATCTGAAATACCAACAACAAAATAAAACAAATATAGACGCTTATAAAGAATTAAATCCAAGGGAAAAAAAATTAAGCTTCAAATCAAAGAATGTACATACGTTCAGGAGCATTTTCCGGGATTTCATTGGACCCTCCTCCGTTTTCCATCTTTTCCCCTTGGCTCTATCAACATGCAGAGCAGCTAGAATACAGCCCAAAGATTTAAACTTGAATTAGAGCTAAATCAGTAATTGCAAATTCCAGTACCTTTTTCTTCTGCAACAAATCAGTAGTTGTCGGTCTAAGGTTTACAGAATTAAACGAAAATTTTGTAGGTTCTTTTATGCCGCCTTTAAGGCTCTGACAAATGGCTGCAAATTTCTAAATGGCTATGGAGTTTATCGTAGGAGAGAGATAAAAAAAGGAACGTAAGTGGAAATGTTTGACTATTATTTCTCGTTCCCTTATTTTTAATTTGAAGTTAGATACAAAGTAGTATGTATTGAATAATTTTGATATTTTAAATTTTGATAAAAGTTAATACTATCGTCAAACATTTAACGAACTATATCTGTTATTTGATGAAAATTATAAAGAAAATTAGCGACCACTTACATTTAGAGGTAAAATTTTGTAATTTCGATTATTTTTGGTCAATTTCTAGAGTTTGATGCACCTTTTGGAAGTATAGTTTTTGTTATTTTTGGTATCTAATGCACTTTTTAGGATTTGATAGGACTTTTGTGATGTTTAGGCTGAATTTTCTTTTCATATTTTTCGTCAAATATAACATACATAAATTGTTAAATATTTCACGAAAATTAAAAGTTAACAAACTTAAAGGTCCAAAATAGCTCTGTATAAATTTATTCTCAAACATGAGAAACTATTTTGATCATTTTCTTTGTATTGTTTTAGTTTTTTAAACGTGGTTTTTGATGTTAAGTTGAGAAAAAATATTTAAAAGTTAAAATTGTGTCTGAACATGTATTTCACTTGAAAAATAATGCAGTTTTACGAGGAAAAAAATACCACTTTTTTAAAATTTAAAATAGGTATCTTGTACATTTTCTCTAGTTATACTAATCACAGTTATATACGGCGAAGAAAATAAAATTCAAATTGAAAATTGGCTAAATATGTTTTTAACATCATTATTTAATTTTCGTATTTGCACAAACCACAAAAAACAAACCTATACTGTATTTTCTTTTAAAAAACTTTTGTCTCTTGTTCATGCATCCGTAAAGCAAGATGAAACATAACATTATTGTGGAAGCCGAATATATAGAGAGTGATTAAATCACAGTTACTATATCTAAAGGTAGCTAATAAATAGTAAATGAGACAATAATAAAATGAACACCAGAAATTAATGAGGTTCGGCAAAGTTTGACTTTTGCCTAGTCCTCGGACACAATCAACTCAAATTTATTTCACTCCAAAAAAATAAGTGAAATACTACAAGAGAGAAAGAAGATTCAAATGCCTTAGGAAATAAGAAGACAAGTGAGAGATGTTTTCAAATGAACAAAACCCTTGCTATTTATAGAAGGGAAATGACCTTAATAATATTATGCATGATATCATATTAAGTGTGAACATGCAATGCAAATGCATGAAAAATGCATTTATCAATTTCTTTCTAAAAGGAGGCTTCAAATATTCGCACTAGTTTACATTAATCTTGTCAAATTCAACAAATCTCCACCTTGGCAAGATTCCACTTTTTTAATTTTCTCTTACTGATAAATTTTGATTATTTCTTCAACTTCAATCTTCAAAGTTCAACAATGTTGATCAAGTTCAAACAATGTTGAAACTTGATCGCAGTCACTACTTTTGTTAGTATATCGGCAGGGTTGTCTGTAGTCCGAATTTTCTGCACCATAACTCCACCTTCTTCTATAATATCTCGTACAAAGTGATATCGAACATCAACGTGCTTCATCCTTGTATGATAAACTTGGTTCTTTGCTAATTGGATAGCACTCTGACTATCACAAAATAATATGATGCTTTTTTGACCAATACCAAGATCTCTAAGTAGCCCTTGAAGCCAAATTGCCTCCTTTACAGCTTCCGTAATTGCCATGTACTCTGCCTCATTAGTAGACAAAGCAACCGTTGACTGCAAAGTAGACTTTTAACTAACTGATACATTTCAAAAAGTAAAAACATAACCAGTAGTTGATCTACGCTTGTCCAAATCACCCGCATAATCCGAGTCACAATATCCAACCAGATACTGACTATCTTCCTGCTCAAAAATCAATCCAACATCTACAGTATTACAAATATATCGTAGAATCTATTTCACAACTTGCCAATGCTCCTTTCCTGGATCATGCATATACCTGCTTACAACTCCGATAGCATGTGAAATATCAGTTCTTATGCAAACCATTGCATACATCAAGCTACCAACGACATTCGCATATGGCACTCTTGACATATACTCTCGTTCATCTTCATTCTTCGGCGACATAGCAGCACTAAGCTTAAAGTGAGGAGCAAGAGGAGTGCTAACCGACTTCGTGTTCTGATTCATGCCAAATTGATCTATTACTCTCTTCAAGTATTCTTTCTGAGATAGATAGAGTTTCTTTGAATGTCTATCTCTTTTTATCTCCATACCAAGAAATTTCTTCGCCTCACCTAAATCCTTCATCTCAAACTCCTTTCTTAGTTGAATCTTCAACTTCTCAATTTCCTATTGACTTTTGGAATCTATAAACATATCATCACCGTATAAGAGAAGATATATGAAGGATCCATCTTCAAGCTTGCGCAAATACACACAATGATCGTATTTGCTTCTTCTGTACTTCTGTCGCAACATAAACTTGTCAAATCATTTGTACCATTGTCTAGAAGATTGTTTCAATCCGTACAATAATTTTTTAAGTTTGCACACCATAATTTCCTTTTGAGCAACTTTGAATCCTTCTGGCTGAGTTATATAGATTTTCTCTTCCAAGTCTCCATGTAAAAATGCAGTTTTTACATCTAACTGAACTAGTTCCAAATTTAGCTATGCTACCAAGGCCAACAAAACTCTAATGGAGAAGTGTTTGTAATCAATTCCCTCCTTTTGAGCGTACCCTTTGGCCACCAATTTTGCTTTGTAGAGAACATCTTCTTGGTTAGAAAATGCTTCTTTCTTTGCAAATACCCATTTGCACCCAATTATTTTCTTGCCCTTCGGGAGATTGGCCAATTTCCATGTGCGATTCTAATGAAGGGACTGCATTTCTTCATTCATAGAAATCCTCTACTTATCTTCTTCTGAACTTTGGACTGCATCTTTATAAGTGGTAGGAACACCATCAGCTACAATTGAGGCTGTACAAGCCACCGTCTCTATGAGACGAACAAGTTTCTTTATTATTTTTTGGCTTACTGGTTGCTATTGATTCAAGTTGTTATTGAGGTTCCGAATTAGAATCTCCCTCTCTACTGACTCTTCTTCCCCAGGAAAATCTTCTATTGTTTCCTCCTTTTCTCCATGTGTTGGAAAAAAATAATTTTCCCTCAAACTCCACCTGCTTTGAAGTACCATCAATTTGTTTGACATCTTCAACTATTACCTTATCTGTTATGGAAAATTCATCAAAGGTAACATCTCTGCTGAATATAATTTTTCTTGTCTCTGGACTCCATAATCGGTATTCTCTGACTCCATAAGTAATTCCCATAAATATAGCTTTCTTTGCTCTCGGATCCAATTTTGACTCTTTCACATGATAGTATGCAATTGAGCCAAACACATGTAAAAAATTATAATCTTCAGCAGGTTTTCCATACCATTTTTCAAATGGTTTCTTGCCACCAATAGCGGAAAATGGTAGACGATTAATGCGGTGACATGCATATGTTATTGTCTCAGCCCAAAATTCTTTGCCCAAACCTGCATTGGACAACATACATTGAACCTTCTCGAGCAAAGTCCGATTCATGCGTTCTGCCACTCCATTCTGTTGTGGTGTATTTCTGACAGTGAAATGTCTCAAAATGCCATCATCTTCACAAATCTTATTGTAAAGATCATTTTTGTATTCTCCACCGTTATCTGTGCGAAGACANCCACCATTATCTGTGCGGAGACACTTTCTCTTTCTGCCTGTTTGAGCCTCTATCATCGCCTTCCATTTGAGAAAAATTCCCAGTACCTCATCTTTGGTTTTCATAGTATGCACCCACACTCTTTAGGAAAAGTCATCAATAAAGGTTACAAAATAGTGTTTTCCACCTAATGAAGATGTTTTGGAAGCACCCCAAACACCAGAGTGAACATAACCCAAAATACCTTTAGTATTATGGATAACTGTTCCAAATTTTACCCTTGTCTGTTTTCCCTTGACACAATGCTAAAAAAACTCCAAATTTCAAGTCTTTACTCCTTTTAACAATTCTTGATCTGATAAAAGTTTCAAGGATTTTCCTCCAGCATGTCCCAAGCGCATGTGCCATAACTTGGTTGCTTCTGCCTCTTTGTCATCGCTGGATGTTACTGTTGCTGTCCCAATAATTGTACTACCGCGGTAGTGGTACATGTTATTATTTCGCTGAATTCCCTTCATTACCACTAGTGCACCAGAGCATATTCTTATTACCCCATTTTCTGCAAGACTTTGAGCCCCTTTGACTCTAGGGCTCCTACAGAAATGAGATTTTTCTTCAATTCCGGTACTATCGAACATCTGTTAATATTCTGATCAATCCATCATGGTTCCTTAATAGGATTGAACCAATACCATATGTGGTAAGAGGATTGTTATTTGCGGTGTGAATAACTCCACATTCTCCTTCTTGAAAATCAACGAACCAATCCTTGTTAGGACACATATAATAGCTACAAGCTGAATCCATCAGCCATATGTCAGATGGTTTGAATGGCTCAGTTGTAACTAGTGAGAAATCAGAGTCGTCACAATTAGCTACATTTAAATCCATGACAACCTTCCCATTATTAGGTTTGGCCTTGTTTTTCAACTTTGGACAGTCTTTCTCCCAGTGCCCATTTTCTCGGCAAAAAGCGCATTCATCTTTGCTAGGTTTGGATCTTGACTTGGATCTTCTTTTCTTCATTCTCATATGATTTTGAGAACGACCTCTCACGACCAGTGCTTCTCCTTCTCCACTCTTTTGTTTTTCTCTCTTTCTTTGTTCATAGTTGTACAAGGCTAAACAAACTTCTTTGAGAGACACTTCATCATTCCCATGAAGTAGAGCAGTTTCAAGGTGCTCGTACTCATCGAAAAGTGAACTTAATAACATTAAGGCCATATCTTCATCACTAAAAGTCACGTCCATATTATGCAAATCATTCGCCAACTTATTAAAGCCGGTGATATGATCATTCATTATA